TGATGAACTTATAGGCAGCCACAAGGTTGCCTCTCAACCTTCTCTTGCGGAGGCTGAAAAGGTCCAGTTTCTCTAGTCTCTCCTCATAGGGCTTGGTCTGCAGGCCCTTAACCATACGAGTGGCCCTTCTCTGGACCCTCTCCAGGTTATCCACATCCCTCTTGAAGTGTGGCGCCCAAAATTGCACGCAGTATTCCAACTGCGGTCTGACCAGTGCCCGACAGAGGGGAATTATCACCTCCTTGGTTCTGTTCATCATGCATCTGCTGATGCATGATAAAGTGCCAGTAGCTTTTCTGATGACTTCGTCACACTGCCGACTCATATTCATCTTGGAGTCCACTAGGACTCCAAGATCCCTTTCCGCTTCCGTGCCTCCAAGCAGGTCATTTCCTAGGCAGTAGGTATGCTGGACATTTTTCCTCCCTAGGTGCAGCACTTTGCATTTCTCCTTGTTGAATTGCATTCTGTTGTTTTCCGCCCATATGTCCAACCTGTCCAGGTCTGCTTGCAGCTGTTCCCTGCCCTCTGGCATGTCCACTTCTCCCCATAGCTTTGTGTCATCCACAAACTTGGACAGAGTACACTTCACTCCCTCGTCCAAGTCGCTGATGAAGACATTGAAGAGTATCGGTCCAAGGACCGAGCCCTGCGGGACCCCACTTCCCACACCCTTCCAGATCAATACCGACCCATCCACTATGACTCTCTGGGTACGACCCTTTAGCCAATTTGCCACCCACCGGACTGTGTAGTCATCCAAGTCAGCCTCTTAACTTGTTCACTAGTATGGGGTGGGATACCGTATTGAAGGCCTTCCTTCAAGTCTAAGTAAACAACGTCCACCCCTACTTCTGCATCCAGGTGTTTTGTAACCTGGTCATAAAAAGAGACTAGATTAGTCAGGCATGATCTACTTGCTACAAACCCGTGCTGGTTTCCCCTCAGCATAATTTTTCCTGCCGGGCTCTTGCAAATGTGAACCTTGATAATTTTTTCAAAGACTTTGCCAAGGATGGAGGTGAGACTGACTGGCCTATAGTTGCCTGGGTCCTCCTCCCTTTAAAGCATTAAACATGCTTTAAATAATAATGTATTGCCCTCCTCCGTCATGTCCCATGTCTTATTCAGACTTGTTTCAAAATTAATCGATCCTAATCTTTTCAATAACTCCTCAGATAGACACCTTTCCATTTTTCTTTTTCTATTTCTATTATATCACTTCTTAAAAAAATGAATACCAGAAATGAACAGAAGATCTTAGGTGATGCTGTTTCATTTTTAAGGCATTATAAGAAGGTATCTATCAGATCTATCTCTGTTCTGTGGTTATTACAGAAATTGGGATGAGGCAGCTGGATCCAAACACCATTGTTCAATGTGAAGAAATAATTAACATTTTTAGAAGGAAATGTGATTTCCTAATCATTGTATTTAATCCCGTTTTCTCTAATGTAATTATTTTTGTAATCAGCTTTTGTATGCAAAACACAACCAATTCTTACCTTTCTATTATGTTATTTTTTAAATAAAGTAACAGAACAAAGGGAAAAGTCCTGGAGGACTGGAAAAGGGCCAATGTGGTCCCCATCTTCAAGAAGGGGAGGAAGGAGGACCCGGGCAACTATAGGCCAGTCAGTCTCTCCTCCATCCTTGGCAAAATCTTTGAAAAAATTATCAAGGCTCACATTTGCGAGAGCCCGACAGGACAAATTATGTTGAGGGGAAACCAGCACGGGTTTGTATCAGGCAGATCGTGCCTGACTAATCTAGTTTCTTTTTATGACCAGGTTACAAAACGCCTGGACACAGGAGGAGGGGTGGATGTCATATACTTAGACTTCAGGAAGGCCTTCGATACGGTATCCCACCCCATACTGGTGAACAAGTTAAGAGGCTGTGACTTGGATGACTACACAGTCCGGTGGGTGGCGAATTGGCTGGAGGGTCACACCCAGAGAGTCGTGGTGGATGGGTCGGTATTGACCTGGAAGGGTGTGGGCAGTGGGGTCCCGCAGGGCTCGGTCCTTGGACAGATACTCTTTAATGTCTTCATCAGTGACTTGGACAAGGGAGTGAAATGTACTCTGTCCAAGTTTGCGGATGACACAAAGCTATGGGGAGAAGTGGACACGCCGGAGGGCAGGGAACAGCTGCAAGCAGACCTGGACAGGTTGGACAAATGGGCAGAAAACAACAGAATGCAATTCAACAAGGAGAAATGCAAAGTGCTGCACCTAGGGAGGAAAAATGTCCAGCACACCTACAGCCTAGGGAATGACCTGCTGGGTGGCAAGGAAGTGGAAAGGGATCTTGGAGTCCTAGCAGAGACACCAAGATGAACATGAGTTGGCAGTGTGACGAAGCCATCAAAAAAGCCAATGGCACTTTATCGTACATCAGCAGATGCATGACGAATAGGTCCAAGGAGGTGATACTTCCCCTCTATCGGGC